ATCAAATACAGCCTGAGTTCCCCCCTCAAACCCCAGAAATCTGAATCTCTGCCCTGGCCGGGCTGTGGGGTGGCTGTGCAGAGCCGTGCTGGGGGGGGCTGGTGCCACCCCAACCCACTCCCAGCCCCAAGATGGTGCCGTGTGGTGGGGGTACAACTGCTCTTCCTTCGGTGCTTGCAGAGAGCTGGTGGTGGGAGCTCTGCCCCATCTTCTGCAGCTGGACGCCCAGCCCATCTGTGGCAGCAAGGGTGAGGAAGAGGAGGACGGAGGCTCTTCAAGCAGTGAGGACGAAGACAACCAGTTGCTCTCTGACCCAAGCGACCCTTTCACTGCAGGCAAAGGTGCCCAGACTGAAGCAGGACGCTCTGTTCCCACGGGTGACAGGAGTGGCAGGCAGCTCGAGTGGCTGTGCCAGGTCTCCTGTAATTCTTCTCCCTCTCCCTCCCTCCGTCCCTGGCAGATTTCTTTGCGGATCTGCACCGGGAGCTGGCCGGGCGCTCACAGCGGAGACGGAGGGAGTGCCTGGAGGAACACTGGACCCGTCTGGAAGAGCTGGAGGAGCTGCGGGAGCGTCGGGGTCTGCTGCTGCCTCCTGCACCGCTGAGCCCAGGCAGGGAGGGAGCAGCCCCAGGCCCCAGGCGGTCTCAGCCCCCTCCCCAAGCGAAACCAGGGACACATCTGCCACCCCTGCCCGGACCCAGCGGGCAGCATGCCTGCTTGCAGCTCCAGCGAGCTCCCGGCAGGAGCCAGCCCCGGACCAAGGAGACTCACGCCAAAGGAGCAAGAAATAGGCAGTTACCAGCAATACCCCGCACCAGGATGGCACCGCGCAGTTGCAATTAAAGCCTCTTTATTCCTACACCTATCTGCCTGTCTGCCACGGAGCCGCCAGCCCCGCAGCAGCCCCAGAGGGGCCGGGCACAGGCAGCTCTGCCTGATGGTAGGAAAAGACATGCCAGGCTGCGGGCAGGACTCCAAATCCCACTCCACTGCCCTCACCTTCCCCCCACACACGCATTTCAAGCCACGGCCACCTCTCAAAAGTGCCAATTTCTCTGGGGCAAGTTAGGGGGCTGGAGGCTCCGCACCCCCCAGGCAGGGCTGGAGATGCTGGTCAAGATGTTCCTCACCGCGCCGTCAGCGGTAGATCCGCGTCGGGAGGAGGCGAGGAGCCGGGGGTGGGCACCGGGAAGGTTTTCTCGTCCCCTATCCAGGAACAATGCTGCGGGGGGGGCTGAGCCCACCCACCTGCACGGGGTTTATGTGTAAAACTTCATCTCTGCCTCCACGCAGTCGAAGAAGAGGTCGGCCAGCTCCTCCGGGCTGGGGGCCACCGTCCCCCTCAGCAGCGCATTCATCCCCTCCAGGCCCTGCTTCTCCAGGTCCCGCAGTGTCTGCAGCAGCTTCTGGCCCCGTTCCTGGCCGGGTTGGGGAGGGAGGAGAGCTGAGACCAAGCACCCCCAGGGAATTCCATGTCTTCCCACATCATCAGGGAGAGCGAGGGTCCCAGGGCAGCGGGGGGTGGGGAAGAGCCTGTGGTACCTGGTCCCTCTCCATCAGCTCCAGTGCCACCTGATGCCGGCGGTACAGCTCATGCCGCCGATCGACCGTGCTCTGGAACCGTGGGATCTGCTTGGCGGGGTCATCACGGAAGGTGGGAGATCTCACCTGCGGCACATGCTTGAGGCCGGCCACGAAGATGAAGGGTTTGAAGACAGACCTGCCAGAGAGGAGCACCGGGGCGCTGGGATCGGCCAGCGCAAGGCGGGATGCTGCTTGCTGGGGACGCTCAGCCCGCAGCATGGCTCTGCCTTGTCCCTGTCACCCCTGGAGCAAGGCTGTCTCCTGCAACGTCCTCACCTGGAGGGATCAGGGGTGGCTGTGAAGAAGTGGACGCAGGGCAAGGCAGGGGCCCGGGGCAGCACGGACACCATGCTGCCTGCTGTGCGGAAGCCCTCCGAGTCCACGCAGATCCCGCTGTCCTTGTCCCGCAGGATGGCCATGAACGTCTCCGCCGTGATGTGACCTGCCGGGTGAAGCAGAACCACGTCACCACCGGCATCTCAGCCACAGCCACAGCTGCTGTGGACATGGGGAGAGTGGAGATGCCGGGATGAGCCATGGGTGGCTGTTCCCTTCCCCTGTCTCTGTCCCCACCTGCGTGCTGCCGCAGCAGCTCCTTGCCGGCACGGTAGCGGGCCTTGGCAGCCTCCATGCGGGTGGGCTGGTGCGTCAGGGAGAAGACCTCGGCGAAGCTGAACTCGCCATCCCCGCTCCACCAGCCCTGGCTGCGGGCTCGCTGCCGCAGCCCCGCGTGCTCAGCCGTGATGTCCCTCCCGATGCTCAGCTGGTTGGAGATGTTGCGGCTGCCCTCTGCGAAAGCCAGAGGGAGGTCAGGCTTAGGCGAGGAGACAGGGCTCCCCGTCCACCCAGTATAACCAGTGCCTGCTCACCTTGGATCCGCTGGGCTGCCCC